TCCGATGGGGCAGGACCGGCCCGGTGCCGGGAGAGTCCGATGGGGCAGGACCGGCCCGGTGCCGGGAGAGTCCGATGGGGCTGGACCGGCCCGGTACCGGGAGAGTCCGATGGGGCAGGACCGGCCCGGTGCCGGGAGGCTGCGATGGGGCAGGACCGGCCCGGTGCCGGGAGAGTCCGATGGGGCTGGACCGGCCCGGTGCCGGGAGGCTCCCATGGGGCAGGACCGGCCCGGTACCGGGAGAGTCCGATGGGGCAGGACCGGCCCGGTACCGGGAGAGTCCGATGGGGCAGGACCGGCCCGGTGCCGGGAGCAGCGGGGCCGGCCCGGGCAGGGGCGCGCCCGCGGGCGGAGGGATGGGGGAAGGGAGGAGCTGACCTCTGCGAACACCCAGGGTTGCCAGCCTTACTCAGCCTTAGCTGAGTAAGAGATGGGAACGGTTCCACGGGCAGCCGGAGTCCGAAGGGATCTCTGCCCCGGTGCCGAGTGAAAGCCCTGCCCGCCCCTCTCTGCCGCACCCGTGCCGTGCCTGCCATCGCCAGGCTCCGCTCCCGTGGGACAGCGGGAATGCTCCGTGAAATGGTGCTTTGTGTTTCCACGTGGGGATGCACCCACCTTAGATCATTTGCCAGTAGCGATTGGGGTTTTCTTTTCCAGGAGAAAAGCGAGGTCCGAGTCTCTTTTTTGGTGTTCATGATCATAGGTTTTCTTAGTGAGACCATTTGTTATTAATCTCTCAGTCAGATACTGAGACTTTATTTAACGTATGAAAGCTTACAGATGTTCTCTGTGGAAGTAAATGATTTTCCATACTTATCATTCTCTAATTAGAGGAGCTTAATGTTCTTTAGCAATGTGGATGCCATCGAGCATGACAGGTAAATGGTAAGGAATAAAAAATACTGTGAGGTTACAAGGGCTGACCAGCCGTGTCACTTCAGCTGTTGACTAGTAGCACAGTGAAGTCAGAAGTCCAAGTGTCCATATTGTCCATTCACACCTGCATTGTTGTGAGCTCCTTACAGCAGGGGTTTGTCCAAGGCTCCTGTGGCTCTTTAGGCTGTGTTCTATGAGACAGCTTCATGAAAGGGCATTACAATTAGCTGTCCCCTGGGCTGTACAGAGAGTGTGGGCGGTCTATCTTTTGTGACACAAGAGCTGCATTAAAAAAATTAAAGCAAAACAAAAATTAATGCGTTTGAATCTGTGAAATCAAGGCCTTGATAGTTGTTTGCTGATCTACAGGGTTAATTTCCCACCTATACCATACATATTTCTTGCTTTTTTGGGTTGAGGAGGAGAATTAGAGCTTTGCTTGATCCTGTTGATATGATGTGTTCGTAAAACTGTTTTAGTATTCTGGCTGAACACAGCCTGTCTCTCTTTAATCATATGTTCAACATTACCAAATGTTTGCTTTCGACTTGATTATTTTACAGCTTGGATGAAGGACCAAAACCTGTGCTGCTTATTTTTGTTATTTCTTCTTTGTTGTTATTTTTTTGGAAGGGGATTAGGCTGCAAAACTGACTTCAAAAGTGGATAGAGCTATTTTTGTAGTGGTTCTTGTATTTAACTTGTATTATTCAAAATTTAGGTTTTTTTAAACATAACATGCAACTTATTGAACCTTTCTGTCTTAAGAAAATGTTAAGCGTGCATTCTCAATAAATAGTCATACAGAACCAGCAAAAAGGGAGTGAAAAATCCAAGCTTTTAAACACTCAGTAGTCCTGTGGGAAACTAGAGGCTTATGTCCTCTCTTTGGTTTCTGTGTGGGAGAAAGAGATTTTGAATGGATCCTTATCCTATGGTTCAGCTTTTTGAGGTAACAGAGCTTTGAAGTAGACTGCAGCTTGGTAAGACTTGCATTTTTCTGATGTCTGACCTGGAAGCCATGAAAGGGGTTCGTAGCAGCTTTGAGGAAGTGTTGGAAGGGGTCAGGTTTGCTAAGAAGAAAAAAATAGCATTTTCATGGCAGAGCTTCCAAAACCAGGAAGAGAGTGGGAATGACTGCAATTTATTCATGTTTACCTTCTGCTACTGTTGCTAAACAACTGCAGAGCTGCACTTAAAAACATCTATTTATGTAGAATAGCAGGTAAGCAAGTTGTTTTGTACTGAGACTGTAAATAGACTTTGAATGTCAACATACCATTTTATGGTAGAGAGTAAACACCAGAATACTGGTATTCTTTTCTACTGCTTTGTGTTCCTATTGTCAGCTTTGTTGAATTTGGTACCATCATTCCTTCTGTTAAGTCTTTGATAAAATTGTAAATCTGACTTAGTGATTCTGTTTGGAGCCTGGAAAATGGCGGTGGCTTCCTTGTTACCTGTAGGAAATGCTTCTTGGAAGTAAAAGAAGATGGTCTGTGGAAGAGTGTCACAGATTAAGGATGGGCACTTCTGTCTTGGTGTAATAGTTTAGCTTTTTACCTTCTACTTTGAGTTATGAGGCAAAAGTATTTTATCAAGGCTCAGATCAAGTAACAAAAATGGCAAAAGAAAATAGAATGATCCTTAGTGGTTTCTGCTTTAGATCTCCCCAGAAGTCCTTTTCTGTTGTTATTTCTGTCCTTAGTCCCATTTAGCAGCTGAGTTCGCTCTGCGTGTGTGTGCCTGCATGGAATTGCATTAGTTCCGCTCTGTGGCAGGGTGAAGACTGCAAATCTCTTCTCAAAGTCTTAACTTGCAGAGCTGCAAGTTTCTACATAACTTTTCTCATTCGTGAAACGTGCATTTAAAAATAAAAAGCTGTGTTTGTTAATCTTCATGAGATTAAATATGGCAGCATTTTACTTGAATTCTCCTGTTTTCTCTGTGAATGATGGAGATCTTACATGCTTTGATTTTCAAAGTTAAAACCCCTACCTTTCATATTAATTTACTATATTGTGTTCAGAGCAAGTTGGCAAGACTAATGCTTACCCATCCATGAATTTGGACATTGATGCTACATGATTAAATGGAGAGAATTTGTTTGTGGGTGTGGACACAGTGGCAGTTGTCTGAATTATAAAGATGCTGAAGAGTACTTTTCAGAATTTTTGTGTATTATTAATTATTTCATTACCCATTTTGATTCTGTTTTGTCACTGTTTTGTCACTGTGGAGGCTTTTGTTTGCATTTTAAGATCTAGCCCTTAAACATTTGGTTAGATCAGGTTTTCTGTGAGGTAAATAAGCCTTCTCTGAAATATTTTGATTAAAACTAGTATATTAATAATTTGTTTAAGAAATTAAGCTTATATGCAAGCAAAAGATTGATCAGTCATTGGGGGTTTGGTGAGGGGGTTGATCTGAGTCAATGTTAATCAGTAATAGAAATAATAACTAATTAATTAATGAAACTAATGAGCCACTTGATAGCAGGAAGCTTGTGTGAATAGGACAGTTCAATCAGTGAGCCAAGTTGTTCTACTGATTTTCTATTTCAACATGCAGAAGGATATCTGAAAATACTGCATTTTTCCATCAATTAATCTAAGTAGGCAGGATTTTTAAAAAATAATTTTTATCCAAAGTGCTCTTTAACAGCCACTTGATTACATAAACTCTTTTTTCCCTTACAGCTCTGAACATTAACAGGAAAATAACACTGAAACAGAATGTCGCTTACCTTTTGTCTGAAAAGGTGAAATCTTTTCAAATAGAAATGGCTGATAAGGGTGGGAAGATGCTTCCAGGACAATTTTACATTCAAGTGGAGTATGACTATGAGTATGAGGCCAAGGATAAGAAAATTGTGATCAAGCAAGGGGAGAAGTACATCTTAGTGAAAAAGACTAATGATGATTGGTGGCAAGTCAAAAGAGATGAAAATTCCAAACCCTTTTATGTGCCAGCTCAATATGTGAAGGAAATACCCCGGAAAGCACTGATGCCACCTGTGAAGCAGGCAAGCATGTTGCCAAATAACACCTTGAAGTTGACACATGGATTACAGAGATCAACAGAAAATGTGAATAAGTCACCAGAGCTTTCTAGTTTTGGAAAATCTTCTCCAGTTCAAGTGTCTTGCTTAGTTCGAGATGCCAATCAAAATCTGGGACCGAACAATAGCCCCTGTCAAACTTTTGGTTTGAGTCTGGACCTTACCCAGAACAATGGAAAACTTAACAATGAGTTGCAATCTCCCAAGGTTTCCAATCAGTTTAGAACCATTTCCATGGGTCATTTCCCATGCCCGGAGTTCTTGGAAATAGAGAAGACCAGCTTTTTGCATGAACAATCTTGTGATTCAGCAGGAGAAGGCTCAGAAAAAATTCACCAAGATTCGGAGTCTGGAGATGAACTCAGTAGTAGTTCCACAGAACAAGTGCAGGTAAGCTAAAAAAAAATGGCCCTCACATCTGGTTTGTTTTCTTTTGTTATCACCAAAATTGTCTGCTACTGTTTTGAGACTTATTCACAAAAATTTCCAATTGTTCAAATAAAAATGTCTTCTCTCAGCATGAAATTGTTACTAAAATTGAAACATTTTTTGTTTATTTCTTGCAGAATTTCTGTGCTACAGGAATTGATTCCATTTACACTATTCTGTGATTTAAAGTTAAAGAAAGAACAATAGTGTTTCCATATTAAGATTGTTTTAAGATGACACAGAATTTGGGTTATATTTTCTTTCAGAGGAAGGCAGCCTACTGCTTTAACTTCTCATGACTTGGCCTGTTGAAATAATAGTGCAAGTTACTGTCAGTTTTCCCTAAGTGTGTATAGATAACATAAGAACTGTAAATTAATTTCTTAGTGGGTTTAATTACACTTAAGACTTACATGGAGTTGAATTTCTGGCTTGATCATATTATTTGTAGACTATTTTAATGAGTCAGCCTTGCCAATTCTGCTTCTCACAACTTTACTCTGGATTAAAACTCAAAACATGTGAGTTTGTTAATTAGTATGGAAGAATCTCAGGAATGATGTACTCCTACTTCAGGCTAAAACTGAGCATTGACGGCCTTTGTCCTTGGTAAAGCAGTTTCTCTCTTTTTTTTTTTTTTTTTTTTTTTAAACAGACATCCCCCTCCCCCATCAAAAGATTAGAACTGTGACTTAATCGGGTCACTTCTGGTACGGGTAACCATGTTAATTAGTCTTTTGTAATCCAGGTTTGCTCTTAAACCAGTGATGTATGTGTGCATACACATAGTTATATATTTATATATGTGTGTATGTACATAATTCCTCCACCTCACACTTGCCTTCCATGTCGTTCTGTAGGGACATATTCAATTATTTTAAATTCTGTTCAAAGCTCCCTACTCTTGAACTTAATCTGTAGTGTAAAACTGTTTTTGCTTGGATAAAAACTGATTGTTACAGTAAATCCCACTTGGCAGTATGTGTTCAGAGTACCAGAGTATCTCAAATCGAACTTGATGCTAACTTTAAACATGAAAAGTTTTATCATGGAGGGCTGTGAATCAGTACTTTGCTAACAAGAGACCATGAAGACAAAGCTGCTTCTATCTTTTAAGATGTTCCCATACTGAACAAGTCAGTACATCTTTAAGATAGAAGATTGCTTAGGTGAATTATAGAGTCTTGATCTGTGTGTATATGTATTTATTGAAATACTCGGTATCTATAGTTTTTCAATATCCTACTATATTCTTGGCCTCATTCTTGATATTCAGAGTTTCTATAGTTATGGGACATCATGTCTCTTATATGTGTATATTTTATGCTAGTTTTAACTTCACTGCCCCTCCCACAAATGTTATGGAATGAATAGGATTACTGGATTTATTTTGTTCAGTGATGTGTTTCTTATGCAGTGTGAGAATCCATGAGCTTTCTTGCACTTTCTTCATAGCACTGCCCTAGCTTAGTGTAGTTGATATGAACCACTTAGAACTTGGCACGATAAAGTGATTACTAGATATTTATTTTAGAAGTGTGTGTTGGCGTGTTACTGCCATATTAATCAATTGCCAAACAAATTATGAAAATACCAAGTAATGATTAGAAAGTATATCCTACTTTAAATAGTTTACCACATTAAAATTTATATTACATGGTAGGACAGTTCCTTCTTCTGTGTTGACTATAATTTGATGCATTTCCTTCTTTAAAGCAGATGGAATTAATATTACATGGGTGTCTTTTGTCAATAATAAATATATGGCCTGCAGCTCAGTTTCCACTGGAATTTGTGCCTCTTGATGCAGTGACACTTAATCTTTTCACCATTCTCTCCCTTCCCCACTATACTTTATTCAATGATACAACTGATTCATAAATTTATATTTGAGCGGGGCAGCAATGCATGTATTGTAGACACTGTTATGGGAGGTCTGAAAGGGGGAGTTTTCACAGTGTTTAAGAATAACAAATGCTAAAAATGCCACATTTTGGCTGTGGAAAATGCTTGGCAGTTTCATTTGCCATTATGAGAATCTTGGGCAGCAAGAGTGCGGATGCTTGCTATGCCTTGAAGTTTGCTTTATTTTGTAACTTAATCTCATGGTGTGTAATTGTGAGCTCTTTAAATGCAGTGAAAATGCTTGACATTTAGTAGCCGTGGGGATTAAAGCAGTGGTAGAACTGATGTCACCGTTAGCTCAGTCTAGATGTTCAGAGTGCCAGCCTTCTCACTGGAACAGCTTGGCAGTTTTTTTAGAAGTCTTTCAATAATGAGCATTGTTTAGTAGAAATCAGCTGTGTAGAAATTAATGGCTCAGAAAGCTGTTTTTATTACTCTTAGTCTGTAGTGAGAACATCAAGTTCCTGGCTTTCATGCACAAACAGGATTTCACTTCACAAGACTGACTGCTTCTCCCTCCCCTGCCTGCTGTGGAGTTCAGTTTTATGTGGTCTGCATTATAATAAACTCTAAGCTACAGGTGTTTTCTCTTAAATTTGTAAGATTAGAAGCTAGAATGGCCTTAATAATGTGTTCATGTAAGTAATTTTTTGGTGGTGTTGGGGGGATAGCATTCAGCTTTAGTCTGACCTTCAGTGTGTTTTCGCTGCCCTTGAGTGCAAATATGTGAGACACAGAGGAATGCTTCTCTTGTGAGATCTTTCTAAGAAGTGGTTACATTATTTCCTGAAGATTATCCTCCTCCTCCTTTCCAGTAATGAAGTTCAGGTTCTGCAACTGTACAGTCTTGAAGTCATTGGCTTGCTGGCTGTAGAAATACTGGAAGATCCAGAGCCTCCAAAGTAATGCATAAAGGAAGGATTTTTTAGCAGATAAAATATGTGAAGTGAAGGACAGGGAGGTGGCAGTCTGAGCAGAAGTATTTGCTAATGAAGATGTAGCAAGGGGTTGGGTCAGAGAAACATCAGGACTGGATAATGAACATTCTTGACATTTTACACAAAGAAATGACAACTGTTTATTGCCAATCTGGTGGATAAGGCGTTGTGAGAACCCTGTGTTAGTTTGTGGACTTGAACTGTAGGAAGCTGGAGGTAATTAGAGGAAATAGGGCTTGAGAGGAAACAAGCTTCAGTTTAACCAGATTTAATTCTCTGGTGTTGACAGTAACTGCAGGTCGAATTGGAGATGAATGAAATGGTTTGAGTGAATGCACAACTGGGTGTGAGAATCACTGAGACAATGGCGGCACTCAAAGCTGTGACAATCAATGAAGTTAATAAAATTTTAGGAGAATGGTGTCAGGTGTCATGTCCTGATCCCAAGGAAAGGGCAAAAATATTCCTCAGGGAGGCCAAGGATGGGGGGAAGAAGGAAAGTTCTGAAAGAGTGATTCTTTAGCAGATATGGACAGTACTTGAAAGAAGCAGATGGGATGTCTGAGCAGTATGCAGTAGAAGCAGAGACCTGGGTAATTGTTCTGAAATAAAAAATCCAGGGAATTATCAAGAAAATCCAGAAAATACCCAAGAAAATCCAGGAAATTTTAAAAATCCAGGGAATTTAAAAAAAAAAATTTCTGAAAAAAAAAAAAAAAAAAAAAAGGACTTACACGTTCAGGCATGCCTAAACAGGCAGGAAAAGCTGAGGCAAAAGAAGAAGACATTAAAAGTGGTCTTTAGAAAGCACCCTGGGCAATGCTTGCTTTCCTATCAAGTTTTGAGAGGGAAGGTGTGCAGACAGGGAGAGAACTGGGTAAGTTCAGAGATCATGTCAAGAATGTTTAGGTGATACCTTTGAGGATGATACTTTGGAATTACAGACAGAAATTAAAATCTGCTTTTGGCAATGCTAATGAGTAACCTATGGGAAATAACTATGTTTCTGATGCATGTTACCTCCTCTTTTGTCACAGGAGACATAGAACATATTTAAGAGTAAATACATGGCTCTGTGTAAATGTTACTATTTATGCTTATTAAAAGTTACTTTTAGCAGCAGGTTGGTTTTAATCATTATAAATATAGACAGTGACCTATTTGCAAAGATTGTTCTGTCTTTCATCCTCTTTAGTAATTGACTATTGCATAAACTGTGAAGCACTAAAGGGGATTATCACTAGGATGGCTGTTTAGCTTTGATTAATTCTGAGTAGTAAAGATCTTAAAGAGTTCTTTCTGTCTTGAAAGAGACAAGATGCAATTTCTGTAAATTCTGTGGTATTACAGTAACTTTTTAGTCAGGAGAACAAAACATTTTCTGTGGGTGTCACAGCATATCTTCTGGAGGTCTTGGCATTCTTGACTTCATCACTTAGTTGAAAGACTGGTGGCAAATCATTAGTGCTGGTGAAACATTAAACATCTGAAATAAATGGCTAGCACTGCTTTGCAGGGCACAGAATCAGTTTGCTTCTATGATAAGAAATTTCTTGCTGCTTTTTTTATTTCATTCATTTGTCCAAGAGAGGAGTAATTTGACAGTATGAAGGAAGCATGCAAGAATTTTTTTTCTTAATAAAACTGAACATGTTTGCAGATTCATGGTGATATGTATAATGTAATAGTTTGAATTATGTTTTAAGTGCCATCCTTTAGTCTCTTACCTTCTTAAAAACAGCATTTGTTATTCTAATTATGTTAAATGCTGAAATATGCACATTATAATGAGGTGAGGAATAATTTTCAATGACAAGGAACTAAAAGCTTTATAATTTAAGGACTTTTATAAAACATTAATATATATTTTTTTTCTGTGATTTTGGTAGCTGCTGCTAGACTTTGTAAGCAGCTTGAAAAATTTGCTAAATTAGATTAATAACTCAGAGGTTCTGGACAGATAATATTAGGAAATAATTTTCCTCTCTGTTTTTTTGTATATTTTTTTTCTACACAGTGTCAACATGTTTGGATAGTTTCACTTTACAGTGCTGCTGTTTGTGATCAGCTTGGCCTCAGTAGTTTTAATATGTAATTCAGGTTGCTGATAGCTCTCCC